TAAGCTGAATAACAGGAGATATAATTTCTCAGCAATTAGAATCCATTACCCAATATATGGGCACAGGCAGAGCCAGCCCTAATCCTTAGTTTTTGAGACTTCATAGTATGTGGTGATACAAAGATTTCTTCACAGCACCTCTGTGAAGGTAACTAGCAATGTGGAAACTGCCAGATCCAGCCCAAAGATGGTCCAGTCCCTTGCCAAGATCTTCCCAAGACACTCAGGACCAGGCCAGCCTCAGGAGGGAGCCACCACACTTTTTAATTTAACCATTCAACCCAATCCTCAGATTTACACACATCAGGTATGAACTTCCAGCCAATGGAGCTTATTTATCCCCCTCTATGGCCACGAGTTTCCAGTATGACCAACAATCCACTGATGTAACCCAGAGCAAGGATTTCCCACCCCTGGTCTGTGAATCCAGGACAATTCCTGGCATTTACCTTCTCCTGGATGTTGGCCCCCAATCTCCTCAGGGTCTCCTGGAAGTTTTTGTTGCGGGGTTCAAGGGTGGCACATTTCTGAGCATCTTTGAATGCTTGGTCTAACTTCCCCAGTTTCTCCAGGGCTTGGCTGCGCCGATACAAGGCTTTGATATCAGAAGCATTGATGTCAATAGCTGGGAAAGAAATCCAAAACATCAGAGTGGCCTGTGCAAACTGTGATTTGCTTTGTTACTAGTATCAATCAGTGCCTGATTAGCACTTACTGGACCAAATTGGAACATCACTTGAACTTCAGAGAATTCCCTTGTGGCCTTAGCACTTGGGTGTTAGTGGGCATCAAGGAATAAGGCCACAGTGTCCCAAAAGCAGATGTGAGAGCAGGCTGAGCAAGTGTATCCAGCTCTCCTCATAACAGCCCCCTCCTTACCTCTAGATGCATCCGAGGCTGCCTTGGCATATTCCTCCTGTTAAACCAGAAAGGAGAGATTTGTTACCCATGGAATAGCAGGGCACGTCCCCATTGCTGATGGACATTGTGACCTCTCTGTTCCCATTTCCCAGGGGGACACCCCAGTGAAGCTCCAGCACAAGCCCAGAACATTTAATGTCAGACCAGCTGGAAACACTCTATTCAATAAATGGACAAACCCCCCAGTCCACAGCCAGTGAGTGCCCTTGGCTGCCCTCCTGCTCTTCTCCCCTTGAGCACTGCCCAGGTGAGGGGAGCTTTTCTCACCTTTTTCAGGAAGCAGGCTGCCCTGTTCCTGTACAGCACTGCCTGCAGCGCCTTGTCCTTGTTGAGCTTTATGGCTTGAGTGTAGCTTTGAAGGGCTTTCTCGTAGTCACTGGCCTGAAAATATTTATTGCCCTCCTCTTTCAGCTGGATGGGATTCTCCATCTGGACAGCTTGAAGGAAAAACATCAATTTGTGTCCCATTTTCAACTGCATGGGTCGCCTGCCTACTCCCCCAAGCAGAGTTCCACCATGAGACTGACATATAATTAACACACATTAATAAAAGCAGCTTACCAGGCTGAAGAGTTTTGAAATGAAGACCTAAATTGCTCTTCAAGGCTGAAGTGGCTTCTCAGAAGCTTTTTTTCCCACCAATGTAGATTAGGAGTCAATTAAAAAAAAAAAAAAAAACAAGAACAAATAAAGGAATTAAAGAAATCTGCCAGCACTGTGGAGAGTCTGTGTGGCTCAGGAAAGAGCTCACTTCCCACTCCAAGTTTGGGCAGGACCTGGCAGCTCCTGCTGCCTGTCAGCATCACCTGTCACCACAGCCTTTCCCCTCCTTGTCCCCTCGTGCTTTATATGCCTGGGGAGGGCTGGGAGCCAGGGCCAGCTTGGGGGGGCACCTGGCTGCAAGCAGGCAGCACCCCTCTGCAGCAAGAGGGAATCCTCTCCCCCCTGCCAGGGCAAACCCCAGCTCCCCTCTGCCTGCAGAGCTGCAAAGGCTGTGGGGAGCAGGAAGGGGGAGGTTCATGCCAAAAAAGCCCATGGCTGGGATGGCTGACCCCTGTCACAGTGTTCAGACCCTTTTCCCTTTCTATTTAGGGAAGCATGAGACAGCTGAGCCTCGGGGACAAGTGGCCCCAGGCCAGCAGCTGCAGCAGTGCCCAGCACCTTCCAGAACTGCCTGGGATGGAAAGCTGACTGACACCCAGCACTGCCTCCTCCTCCTTGCAGGGCCTTTGGGAGCCCTTCCCACTGGAAATCCCATCCCTGGCTGGTGCTGCCCCCAGCCCCACCCGTGCTCATTCAGCAGCACACTGGCATGGGCTAACACAGAGGTCTGGGCTGGACACACTCTGTGTGATGTGATGAGTGGCTCCGTTTGAATGACACCAGGAGACAGAGCAGCACTGAGCCTTCCAGCCGTTTCTGTTCGCCAGCAGTCACAGTCAGGAATTCTGCTTTTTGATTTATCTCCCCTCAAACACAGGCCTTGCCTTCCTCAGTGTACCTACCAGCATCCCAGCTATAAAGCAAAATGGGGAACCGACAGGATGGGGAAATGACTGAGGAGAGCATGGGCTGACCAAGACTCTGCCAGGAGCAAAAATATCATTGTCTTTAATTGTGTTATCTGTATTGTGGCTTGTGGCTCTTATGCAGAAAGAATTAGCCCAGAGCTTCCCTGTGCAGGGCTCCTGTTTTATTCACCCACCACCAGCAGCATTGCCTGGACCTTGGTATCCAGGCAGGAGATGATTCCAAATCCATTTGTAAATCCTTTCACAGTAAATCATCAACACCACAGCTGCAGGCAGCTTCATCAAGAGCAGCTCCCACATCTTTACCTGTTTGGGAAAAGGTCCAAGGCACAAGGATGACAGCTGTGGAAAGTGCAAGATGCCACCCCTGCCTTGGTACACTCAGTGAAGCAGCTTTATTTATTTGGATTAACACACCAGAAACTCCTTCCAACATGGCTTTAGGGCAAGGCTCAGCTGGCTGAATTACCAGTACTCGTGGGATATAGCAGTGCCTTTCTCACATCAGTCAGAATAAAGCTTCATTGTCACAAGTGGCAGCACTGCAGGTAAACTGAGTTATGTTATAAATACATATTATGGTATCAGCTTTTTGCAAATATTGGGGTGGATACTATATGTGTGGTGTTGAAATGGTTTTTAAGATATAGTTTTCTTTAGGAGTAACACAGGCTGATAAAGTGTGTCTGTAGTAAGTGAACTGCCTGCTTGGTTGGATAACACCCAGTGAAGACACCTGCTACTGATACACCAGTTATCAGTGCTGACTGTCGGTAGAAATTGAAAACCACAGCCTAAATTAAGACTAATAAGAAAAAGAAATTAAAACCACAGCCAAGAAACACGCATGCTCTAAAAAGGCAGACTCAAGGAGTGGTCATGTAAAACAGTTCCTGGAATATGGAAAATAGTTTATAGGAAAGTTTGAAAATGTATGATGGGTCTATGAACATGCAAGGGGCTGATGAATTTAAGGGGTGTTTCCAAAACAGCAGGAGTGCTCTTGGCTGAATGCCAAGCACCTGCCATTATAACCTTTTGCTTTATTGTTTGTCTCTTATTGTCTTTTATGTAACCTTCCAAAATCTACCAGGAAAGTGAACCTCGTTTTTCACAGTTACAAAATCAAAGGGTGTTGGGTGCTGCTGCTGCTCTAGGCAGGCTGAGCAGCGAGTGCCGAGAGCCCTCTTCAGGCCTCGGCTGGGAAGAAAAACATAATAATAACAATAATAAATACCCCAAAAACAGCTTTCCCAGGAGAAATCCAAGCCTCCAAGGCAGTCAGGGAGGGACAAGTCTCCAACCACCTGTAGGGCAGCAAA